ATATATTTGTATAACTTGGGACAATGGTGTTTTTTTCTTGATACAAAGTTCATTTTTCTTTTTAAACATAACTCATGTTAAATTTTAAGAAGATTTTTATTTAAACACTTTTATTACAATATTTAGGTAATCTAACAATATCTAACAAGCTTCTGAGACAGGAGGTAACATTCTCATAGACTTTGCAACTCTGCCAGAAGTAGAACTCAAAATCAATGTGTCATTTAAAGCAACTATGAAGGTAAGAATAAAAGGAGTGTTGTCAGTACTAAGAAGGTTTTCAATGCAGGGTCCAATAGCTATACTTATATATACAGAAAACATGAAATTAGTTACTAAACATAACAAAAACTTGGTATACCTACAGCAATGTGTATTTACCAAAAACTGGTGAAAGTATGTTGAGAGATATGTTAAATATTTGCTGAAAAGAAAACTAATTGTCTGTATGTGAAACCCCATGAATCATTTTATGTATCAGGACCAAAAAACTAACTTCTTTTATTTCTCAAAAATCATAAGTGGTCTCATCTAAACCAAAAGTCACAGACTTGTCAGTTATTTATTGTCTTCTCATTTTGAACGTTATTTACTATTTTCTCTCTCTAAACAGTAAGTTCTTAGTCCAAATTTATTATTTTGTCCCATCTAGACAATATGGTCTATGGTACTTCACTAGGGTGGTCTGAGTAGATTCTAGGGAGTTCTCCAAGCTCTGGCAGTATATGTGTCTCGTATGGGGCCATATGCACATTTTTGGAGGGGTGGTAGTCTATGTCTTTTATCCAGTTCTCAAAGTGATAAAAGTAAAGACCCACTGGCCAACTGTAGCAGTTTCCCAAGTAAAATATAAAGATGATTCACTGAGTTAGGTGAAGAAAATATGAGAATTTCTATTTATATTCATGCTCATTTAGAAAAGAAAAGCTGTACTAATATGTAGTATATGGATTGAGAGCAGCATGTATCAGTCTATAGAATTGTTGTGCTACAATATTTTATCAATAGATCGCAGGAATCTAAAAGGTTGGAGAATAGTGCTCTAGGGAAGTGAATATCAGGTTCTCGTATTTTCCAAAACATCTTTAATTTACACGTGCAAGGAGGTGAAGGAATAGTAAATTCTCAAATACCAACACATTTTCATTCACTTCAATGTTATAAGATACAATTTATTCAGGGAAGATGGCAGCTCACTGTGATTAAGCAGTGTCTGGATGCTGCACATCCCTGTATCACTGGGAATCACTATTTCTAAAGGCCCAGAATACCTAGACCACTGTTGCCATAACTTTCCAAAGAGCTTCAGTTTTGCTGCTCTTATTCCAGGTGTATAATACTTAACACATTGGGCTGTCCAACTTCTGTAATAGTCTTTTTGTTTTGCTTTGTTTTGTTTTCACTTTCTCTGAAACTAACTCATAGTTCTTTCCTCAGTACAGATGGATTTGGCAGCATTTCAGATGGAACAAACATCTGAGCAGATACTTTAAGATTTGGGCATTATGCAAAGTCATTTTTGGCCAAGTAATTTTCCTCACAATCTGGAAGACTCATCTGTGATTTAATTTTCTGATATTATGTAATTAAAAAAATTAAAAAACTTGACAGGCAGCCACCACCTTATCTAAATATCTTCTACCAGAACATCTGAGATTACGTCCTGGATATGCCATTTAAATTTTGTCCAGATTTCTACTCCAATGTTGAAATCCAAGATATTAACATTTTCATAAAACTAAGTTTATGATGATGGAAAAAACTGCACTGGTGATAAAAGAAGTGTGGCTTTTAGAATATCACTTTTTTTTTTTCCTTTTGCTTAGGTTTTTCTGACTGAAATCTATACATTGATAAAGCTTTTGCTACTATTTTGGCGGACACTATATAGGAAAACAAATGGATATAAATAAGAAGGTAATGGGATAGTTTTGGTTGAAAAAAGTGTGGGCTCTGTGGGCTAGTCAAAACAGATGCAGGTGTGGCTGTTATCGGCAAAGCCATTTTGAGGGAAATATAGATAGCAATAAAATGTACAGTGATTAATGCAGCTTAAAATGAGAATACTGAATGAGTCCACATCATCAATATAATAAAAGAAACATTTAAAGAGGAGCAACAGTTCATCCAAGATCTAGTAGCTGATGTGCTAAGAACAGAAGAAAACAACTCAACAAAGATGACAAAGGACTAATTGTCTCCGTTGCTGTAAGCTTAAGCTTTCAGTAATTGATTCCTCCTCTTTTCACTAAAGGATACAAATATTTCCCAGGTCTTGAAAAGTATCATAACAAAGACCATAAACTCGAACACTCAATTTTGGTTGAAAATGACATTTTGCTTTTCTCTGCTTAGTAAGTTAAGCAGTCCCTGCTTTTAGCCTGTGTTTTAACAAGAGAACTGCACTTTGCTACCATCTCAGTAGCACTGAATTTCTGTTTTGGAGGAGATGGTTAAGTCCCTCCTCACAGGAATTGCAAGGCATCTTGCCCTCCCGCCTCTCACATATGCTTTGTTCTCCATCCCTTTACCCTTAAAGTCAGCCTTAATTTAACTGTCCAAGTACAACCACCTAAAGAGTGAAATTGCATAGAAGTGCAAAATGAGGTGAAATAAATGATCCATGTTTTAGTGTTCAGTGAAAAGTAGTGATCTAACAAGCTCCTCAACAAATATGTATCAAAGATTCAATTTTACTTATTAAAATGATTTATGTGGGTGTAACCCATGCACCTAAAACCATTGCAGTAATTCATTGACCCATTCTGTTTTGGACTACTAACATTTGCATCAACAAGGGCTTGATGGTGGATTTAAAGCATTATGTAGCACTAGACTTCACTGGAGTTTTGCATTAAAGCTCCATCTGGGCAGTTTTCCAGCTGGTAATCTCAGAGGACTGATGTCTATTCCTCAGGCACTACTTAGACCAGACACTCTTGTTTACTCATCTCTTTGATTTGCTGGGTCTACCACAGACCACCCTTTTCCATCCTATGCCTTCTTTAAACCTAACTGGGACAGGGCTGGGAAGTCTTTGCCTTGGTGTGGCTGGAAATATCAGGGAAGAAATTTGGAAGAAACGTTAAAATGCTGAAGCAACTCTTCTTTCCTCCCTACCAAAGGATCTGAAAGACTAATAGCCTTGAGAGTGATACAAAATTCCAATGCCAGACATCCCAGCTTTATGCTTATACTTATGGTAAAATATCCAGGATATAAAATGAATCATTTTCCCTTGAGGTAAAAACAGATGTTCATTCAGTCACCTGTGCAAGTAAATATCCACCCTATCTATCCTTATCTATGCTGTTTCTGACAGTCTTTGGAAAACACACATCTGATCATACCATTCTCTTCCTTTAAGACTTGATGTCTCTCTTATCTAGTAGCTTTAAAACTGTTGGAGAGGGAGACAGAAGCTAATGGATCTAATTTTACTCGTGTTGCTGTTTCTTTTATTTTTTCTTTTGTAAGATCTATTTTGAACAAGTGCCTCAAGTGAATAATAATAACTCTTATTATAGTTATTAATATTACTATTATGGTAATGTTGATAACTAAGGTCATGTAAAGCCGTGTCATATGTAGTTATTAATTACTATATATTAATATTACAATAGCAATACTAACAACTATCATGGCACACCTTTACATGACACACATACCCCTTGGTGATTTTTGCGCAAATGGTCTTTTGTCCTTATTCTCCTCCCTCCCAACTCATCCCAGGCAACTGGCTCTCCAGAATGTACTATGCACCCCCAATACTCCATCTCTTTGTGTCTGCTAATTTATTTTCCTGGATGATGTCCTTCCCCTTCTCTGCTTGATGAACTCTAAGACCAAAGGACTTTTCTAAGAACGAAGTCCCCTACTTTGTGCTCCCACAGAATGTTGTAATTATGTCTTACATTTGTCTCTCACTTTCCGTTCTTGATAGATTGGGCCATGCTCAGCACTTTGGGAGGCCGAGACGGGCGGATCACGAGGTCAGGAGATCGAGACCATCCTGGCTAACACAGTGAAAGCCCGTCTCTACTAAAAAATACAAAAAACAAAAACTAGCCGCCCGGC